TATTTAAATTCCGTTTGTGCACTGCACCAACCTGAGCACGCCTTTGGGGACCTTTGACAGACTCGCTTACAGATCTGAAAGTGCAGTAGGCACCAGCCTCTGTTGTTACCAAGGTCTGTGCTACAACTCACTGAGCAGAGGTTTTCTCTTGGTCACAGAGTGTGCTTCCTCTGTGCAGGCAGCGACCTGGGAACGTGTCTGGCTGCTGGTCAGAGGCGAGGGGCTCAGCTTGGCAAGGTCCACCTTTCAGGAGAAGGTGGGATGCTATGGGTGTGAATGTGCAGCAGTGCAGGAGAATGGTAGGGAGAGAGGAACTGTTTCAGTAACTTGTTCCATGCTTGTGCAAGGAGGTGACCTCCTCTCAGCTAGTCAGCTAGTCCTGACCAGGTCTGTGTGATGCTTCTTGTCCTCAGGCATTTTGGAAGTTTAAGCTGTTGGACAGTTTTGGTTAAACAAAGCACTATGTGTAGCAACAAGATTCAGTAGATGCAGTAGTTTCTGTGAAGCTGGGTCTTCTAGAGACTTGTTATTGCTGCTGTTAAAGGATCGCTGTTATTTGGAAAGATGTTTTCTGATTCTTCTGTGGTGGTGTATTTTGTGAGTGGAGAAAAGTACTGATTTCGGTGACTGAGGAAAATCCATTCTTAGATTTTGGAAGGAGTTAAAATGTTTTTCTTGTTGCTTTAAAGCAGCCTTGTCTAGTTTAAAGTGGTAATCCAAAATGGGTCTGACATTTGAGTGTGTAGAGGCTGACATGCAGATATACTGCAGTGAACAGAACTGACTTGTGGAAAATGCAGGCTAGAAAATATGAAGTGAGGCACTTCACAAAGTAACCAGTGCTGCAAACCCTCATCACAGAAGCCTGCCCTACTCATGCAGGTAACTGTGCTGCTTTTGAGATGCTACAGTTCTTGTGTTTCTGCAGCATGATGTGCTCTGTGCTGCACTTCTACATATTTCTGTGTCTCCCTATGGTTTTGACCAGACTGTGCCACACAAGCCAGAACCCCAGGTTGTCTTTTATATGAGTCCGACCTCTCCAGTTCCTAGCTCAATTCTTCTTGGAGCTCATAAGAAGGGCCAGTGATTCTTACAGGTTGTCCTTGGGCCAGGCAATACCACTAACCCAGCTGACATTGTGATAGAAATTGATTTCCTTTTTAGTGAGTCCTTGGAGTCCTTTCAAAGAGGTACGTCAAGTCACTAAATAGTTTCAGTACTGCAGCTATCATATGCGCATTTTACCACCTGTCTTTGAAGTTAATTTATCAGTGGATTTCTTCATGGTCTTGCTCTGACCAAGGCCTTTCCTGGCCTAGTTGACCTACTTGTGAGTCCCCGAGAGGTTTTGCCCTGTGATGCTCAGAGAGTTCACTAGAGCATCCCTCCTGCTTGTTGTGCAACAAAGCCACAGCTGTTTCCTGGCCTCTGGGACCCTGTGTCCCTGCAGATGGAGAGGCAATATTTGCCTCAGTGGATATTATTTAATATTGTCATATGTTAAGAGCAGTTGTTTAACAGATTATGAGCTGTCTCCAAGCAGCACATTGTCAGGGATGTCATTGCAATTGAATGTAAATGGTAGCAATGAGAACAGCCCTTCTACCTCCAGGTTATCTGTCGAATAAACTATGCAGGGGAGTTATAAGCAGTAGTCCTTATTTTGTGCTGTGTCTTGCCAGTGCTCACACAGGCAAAACACTGTTGTCAGAGATGCTCCTGAAGAAATGCAAGTGTGTTCTCCACATAGGCACAGAACCACCATTGCATCATTGTTTTGTCTTTAAGGAGAACTGGGAAGAGGATTGAGTAACTGGAAAGAAATTCTTGTTTTTCTCCAAGACCCTTTCTTTGCAGGTGTTGGGGCTCCCATTCTGTGGGCTGTTAGGCCACAGCAAGTTAAGAAAAAAATAAAAAAAGTGAAAGGAAGTTTGGAAATCACCAATGCAGACTGTCTCTCCCTTTGCACCAAAATCAGGAACAAAGGAAATTATCATCCTGAGCCTGGTAACCTCCCAAGGAAAGCTGGCAGAGAGTGGTGGGTTGGAAACCTCTTTCTTGGCCTGACAGTTTGGATGGTACTATGCTACAGCTTCTCTTGAGTGCCTGACTGCTGTGCTCATGGGGACCAATGGCTTCTCTGCAGACTTTCAGCTACACAGGGAGTTCCTAAGTGCTGGTCCATGCAGGGCATTTTTTTTTTTTTTGGATCTAGGGATCACCCCAGGGCAAGCACTAGAATAAGTGTTGTAATGGAGCTGGAGGAGCAAGCCCAAAGATGAGTCACGGTGTGGTGTTGACTCCAGAGAATGGGTCCAATTTCAGTATTTACTTCTGGCGTGTTTGTAAGCTATGTAAAGCCTGAATCAAAAAATGGTGAAGATGCATGAAGTGGGAACTAGCTAGAAATGAGACATACTTATAAAACAGTGGGATCATCAAAACTTCTGACTTGCTTTTTTAATGGATAAGTGCCTGAGTTTTTGCCTTTAAAGTTTTGTATGTACATAAGGATCTCTCAGCTTGGTTGTAACTCACAACTAAACCAAACTTGGACTCTCTGATGAAGTGTTCTACCTCCATCTCCCGAAGAGGCTCGCTCAATGTAGACTAACAGGATTACCTAATAGGGATGTGTAAAATACAAAGCCAAATCACATTGACTTAAAAACTCATATGGTGAGGATGTTGGCATATGTTCTCTTCAGTAGCTTGATAATTGGGATGGTCATTTAGGAGTTGAAATGAAGGCTGAGCTTTCACTGCCCTTAGGTAGCCCCACATCTCATAAGAGAACACCCAAACTGATAGGCTGTCAGGAGGGAGGGAATTATTTGCATGTTCTCTAAACATCCTTTGGAAACTACCAGTCCAAAAAAAAAAATCAGGCTTCATTGGGCCAAAATGTAAGCAAATAGGAATGTGATTCTTTAGCTTCTACAATAATGTCAAAGGATCTTGAGTATTGTCTGAGAACTGGGCTTCTGTTAAAATATCAGATATTTTGAGTAATATAGGGAAGGGAAGAAAACCCCTTAAAATATCCCAATTTTTCATTGTTTTCCATAGTTTAACTTGGACAGGTTTATATTTTCTGTGCTAATGTTTTTCAGTTCTATCTCACCAACAGTATGCATGGAGCTTCCAGCTCCCAAGTCTTTGAGAACTGGTCATCTAGGGACTAGGCTGTAGCAGGCTCGCCTTTTGGTGCTTAAATCCCCTTGTGGTCTTAGTGCTTTGTTTTTACCTGTAAAAAGGGGATAAGCTTACTGTCCTACCTCACAGAAGCATTGCAAGGCTAGATAAAAGTAGGATTAGCACCATAATGGTCATAAGAAAAGTGCTCTATATAGCTTTTAATAAAAAAAAAGAGATTATTTATCCAAAGACAATATTGAGGTTTAAGTGTGAAAGGAAGGTCACTGCTTAGGTTAATAGAAGCTCTTCAAGAAGCTCTTGAGGAAGTGGAGAGAAGGGTAAGTTACCTTTTTGAGAAAGGGAGATGGTGAGAAGGACTGCGTGCATGAAATAACACCATTGAGATCAGGGCAGGACCTGGCCTGACATTTGTATTTGCATATTTTCTTGTAATGTTTTTTTTACTTCCTGATGAAAATTTAAAAATATCCTAACACAGTGCAATGTGGTGTTTATAATAGACACTCAAAAGCACTTGCTTTAGCAATGAGAAATGACTTGGCTTACTTATTCATAGGAAGGGGTAAAAGACATGTATTGTTTTTGGAACAAAGTGCTTCAAACAGGCAAAAACCATGGTATTTAAAAGAGACTGTGAGAAACAAAGCAGTTAAAATGTCCTGAAATTATACTACTGGCGTATTTCATTCTAAAGAGTGTATAAAGATGCACTTAATCATGCTCATGGGATTGGGCAATGGATTTAGATAGCTACAGAAATGTTTTATTTAAACCCACTTGAAGTTTGCAATGGGATAAAAGATTTTGAAAGGGAAAGTTAAAATAAACAAACCTCTTTGCAATTAATAGGTAAAATGTCTTGTTTGTGTCTCTTGGTTGCAGGAAGCATTAATGCTAGCTACGTATGTTTGAGCAGTTGGAGGTAGGTCCTGAAAAGTGGACAGCGTTGTGGACTCTCTTAAAGGCTCTTCTTAAATATGAATGTCTCTTAATCTCATGTGGTTTCATAGCCTTCTTTCAAAAGCCAGAGGATCTTTGCCTGCCTGCCAGTGTCCAAGCAACAGCACCGCTGTCTGCCTTGGCACAGGTGTAGTTAGTTCTCCTCACAAGAGCCAAAGCAGCAGAGAAAAGTGAGGTCTGGGCCCAGCATTGAGTATGTTCATCATCTGAATGAGATTTCAGTCATAAAAAAAAAAAAAGTAGCATGCACAGATCCAGTGAGAATGGAGGTGTGAATCCTGATAATTTTTTTTTTCTTGCTGATTAAAACTCCTTCTGGCTTGTACAGCAAACGAAAAGTTCTTTCTCCTGGTGTAAGTACTAACCCAAGCTGTCTAGTGTCTAGTTTGGAGTGCTATGCTGTGCACGTCACACCAGAAATATTTGAGCTTGTGTGGCCAGCAGTGAAGGCTTTATTGAGAGGAGCCACTGTGTCTACGTTCAGAGAGGAGAAATATCGGTCATGTGCTGTTCTGGCCGCGTGTAAGAGGCTTCACATTCAAACTGAGTGTCATGGCAGATCAGTGCATGTGGTGCAGAGGGAAGCACTTTGGTGAATCTGTCCTCAGTCAACGGATGAATTTTACCTGCTTAACCATTATGTGTTTTACTTGCATAAAACCATCCTCTTAAGCTTTGCACGAGTAGTTAATTTTTTTATTATTATTTTTTTTAATAAGAATTTACTTGAGACTAAAACCAGGAATAATCCTATTGACTGCAGTGGGAATAGTATTTGGGAAAAAACTGGGAAATCAGGATTGGGTCCTGAAATAAGTATTTCCTCTGATGCAACCATAGCCTTTTCAAATGTCTAACTGATGTGTTCTTTCAAACAGATACTAATTTTGTCTTGGGTAATGCCCAGATAGTGGATTGGCCCATTGTCTACAGCAATGATGGATTTTGCAAGCTATCAGGATATCACAGAGCAGAAGTTATGCAAAAAAGCAGCACCTGCAGGTATTTGAGAACAGATTTATTTTCTGTTAAATAGCTTGTAGTGTTGTGCTTGTTGTTTGAGGAGAGAAGTAATCTATTTATTCCAGTTTTGTCTTTTATCTCCCAGGGCTGCATCTGTCAAATATGCTTTCCAGGTGAAACAAAATCAAAGGAGGACTGTTTCTAAATAGGTCCTTTTCATACTGTAAACAAATGGGTTTGTGTCTTTGTCTAGTATCTGATTTGAATTTCTTGCTTTATTTGCAGTTTTATGTATGGAGAGCTGACAGACAAAGATACAATTGACAAGGTCCGGCAAACATTTGAGAACTATGAGATGAACTCCTTTGAAATCTTGATGTACAAGAAGAACAGTAAGTAATTGATTGGTTTGCTCATTAATGTAGGTGTGTAAAGTTGTTTTAAATTATAGTGTAAACTGCAAGTCTGTCAGCCTGGAGGACAATGCTTTATCTAGGGCTAAATAAGCCCAAGTTCTACCAGCTGATCTGCAAAGGAGAAATGAGAACATTAGGGGTGAAAGTCACTCAGGGAAGCAGACGAAACTCTCTAACTTGTTCTGATGTTTAGAGCAATTTGTATGTGATGCTTTAAGACAACACTCAAGATTCCATCAACAATGATAATACACAAGCTAGGTTTGTGCAAATGGTTTCCATTACAGAGAAATATACTTTTTCAATTAAAAAAAAAATGATATAGCAAACCCAGTATTTAGATGTAGTTTTGGATTAAAAAGAATCCATCTTTTGTTTTAGAAGCTGAACTACTTCTAACATTTTTAGATGAAACTGTCTTTTGGTTTGGACCAAAATTCCTTATTTGGGATATGATTTTTCCCCAGGAATTTCAGTCTGTCTGTTACTGCGCATGTCAGCAGATGAACTGCTAGCCCAAAACTTGTTGCCCCATCTAGTGTGCACTATGTCATGGCACAGTTATTTTCATCTGCTTAATGTTACCTGAAGTGTAAATACACTGGGGTCTTCAGTCTGGCCAAATGTTAAGCTGAAAGTCTGCATTCTGTAACTTATTTTGCTCTTAACAGTTTTGTGTTCTAATCATGAAACTGATAATGTCTGCGTACAGGGGAGGGTACCTTGCAGAAGCATCCTGCTAGCAACTCCTACCCATTACAGCTATGATGATCAATTTGATCAGTTCTGCATTAGTGGGAATGTGAGACTTTGACCACAAATTATAACATAAATTGTTATAATGTAATTTTCAACAGTTAACCTTATCGCTGCCTTGTTTTTTGTTAGACCAGTTTTCCAGGGAAAGTTATCTAGTCTACATCTATGTGTGAACCATTGGTCTTTATGTTGAAATGACCAGCTGGTATTGACTGTTGGGTCTTTGAGAGAACCACAGGCACTTCAGAAAACCTAAAAGATAATACTTATGTATGGTAGTGCTAATCTGTGGAAACTGCTTGTTTTCTATCAGAATTAATCTGTTCTTCTAAGAAGTAGTGGTGCTAAAGTACATGGAATTGGTTTTTGTCATCTTTTAGAGAGGAAAAAAATTCTTAAGAGATTTTTGCTTCATCGCTCTTCTAGTCATTTTCTTTTCTTTTTAGCCTGTTCAAAGCATCATGACCTCTGTCATGGTGCCATTGCTCATGGTCTTCTGGAGCACAGCTTTGCTGGTCCAACTCATTTGAAAAGCTATATCTGCTATTTGAATGGCCTCACTTTGTGCTTCTTTCCTTCTAGTGTTATCTGCCTCCAATGTTTACCTATTTCTTAAAGCTGTTTTCTGTTCCTAGCTCAGTTAGTGGCCGTAGGGACCATATGCAGCTCACATCTATGCATCCAAAGCCAAGTAAATAAGCTGCAGTCATGGGATCTAGGAGGGTCTGGAATTCTCTCTTAGTTAACAGTGATTTGGCACCAAGAGGCTATGCAGCTACTCTTCTGTCATTGCTGCAGCATATGGCCTGTAGTAGAGCCCAGGACCTCTCTGTCTTTTATGCAGAATTAAAGCAAGGTAACCACGGAGCGAGGAATGTTTCCTGCCCTGCTGTGCACTTCCCTGAGGAGAGGCAGCCTAGAACAAAGTCCAGCTGTGCAGAAGCTGTGTCATGCAGCATGCCAAAAAGCAGAGCTGCGATGGTTCTGCTGTGCGCGCAGAGGGTCACAGGCATGGGAAAAAGGAAAGCACAGAGCTTGCTTTTAAGTTTAACAAAACACAGTGCTCTTGTGTTTGTTAGATTCGTGGCTTTAAAGGTACATTAACTACTGTTACAGAGACTAATAACACTAGAGTTGTAGCTGAAAGATAACAAAAAGAGGACATCCTGGAGCTTTTCCTCAGAATAAGCCACATCATAGAAAAACACTGTTGTCTTGTTTACCAGTCACTTAGCACCCAGATTGCCGAGTGATCTTGCCTCTGTGGCCACCTTACCTCTGCCCGCAACCATGGCAGTGGCCTGCTCAAGCAATGTATATGGTTGGTTTCCACCTGCTCTTAGTTTGAAGGTTTTGGAAAGGGCCCTGGATTTTGTTAGACATATTTTTTCCTGCTCTTTGTTTCTTTTTTTTTTCTTCTGTTCTCTACTCGTTCAGTTTGTCTTCTTCAAATTAGCTAGTAAATTAGACAGGAAATAGATTTTTGTTGTTCTTTACCTGTCCTTTCCTTCCCTATAAACTAACAGTCATGATAAATAGCAATTTTTTCTTCCATTTTGGTGCTGTTGAATAATTGGGACATTTTCCACAGCCTGTACATTTAAAATACTTCCAGCTGTACTTCTAGATGCAGTCTATCCTTTTGGGGAGAAAAAGGAAACAAAGCAGGAGTTTCAAGTTAACTATGATGTTGCTAGTGCAGGACAGTATTCTTTTACCTTTATGAGCAGCAGTCACCTCTTTCTCTGAGTTACAATTATGCCCTGATCTTGCAGTAGACGTGTCAGTGATACTTTGAGACATTTAAGAATGCTGCTAGAAGTGATAGACTTCTTTTTTCACAAGGCACTCTCCATGGTGGTGACCCGGTGCTAGTATTTACTTGATTGTGCTATAAGAATATCCCATCCAGATGTTGATAGGTACAGTATATCTACCAGCTTCGTTGCAGTTCACAGTTTCGACTCTTCAGAAGAATGATACGATTTTCTGCCTTCATAATGTTTGCATTTATGGATACTGTCTCTACCCTGATCTCCTTTTTCTCTGTCTAGCCCTCCCACCATCCAAAAGTCACTGTCCTCCCTCTTTTCAAAGTTAAGATATGACAGAGATTTGATGTTTCCTTGGGCTGGGCCCTTGATTACTTATGCGATGATCATTGTTATTCTCTGGAAGAAATGCTTCCTTAGAAATGCAGAGCTCCTTCAGGGTAATTGGAAGCATTTGGAGCAACCAGGTGCATAGCCATCAGATTTTTGTTGCTGTTGCTCTGATGCCATCCTGTTGCATTCAGTGGGGATTCATGGTCATACCTGGAAGGAAACAAAATGAAAGCTTTCTTTAATCTGGACTGCAAAATGACAACAGGCTGGTTGACAGTAATTTCATGTGAGAGCTTCAGTTCCATTGTTTGATTAGATGTGAGTGTCCAGCGATGCTGGAAGTATTGTTTATTTTCCTATGGAAAAATCAAAACATTGCTAAGTCTCACTGAAATCAGTGAGAAGGATACAGCCTAGTGTATTAGAAAATATTTTGTATCTTCTCTTAGTCATATCTTAGCTTATTTGAACTGATGCAGCTTTAAACATCTGACTTCTAATGAGAGTTTGACAGACATTTGTTGTGTTTTTACACTTCATGGTTAGCCTCATAAATTAAAATGGCTGAGTAAATTAAACTTGGACTTGCATTGCCTAGTTTTCCATCTACAACATAGGTCTGGGTTACAAGCAGTGCAAAAGCAGGCTTCTTATTGATGCACTTGCTTCCATTATTACTGAAGTAAATTTTTGTAAGAATATAAATTTACTCACTTTTCTCTACCTCTGAAGATGTCGTGCTCATTTGAAATTTAGTGCTCAGCCACGGAACTTACCATTGCCACCACTGGGCTCCTCACATTTGACACTGTCCCACATGACATCCTTGTCTCTAAGCTGCAGGGGCTTGGACTGGACAATTGGAGCACTTGGTGGATAAGGAACTGGCTGGATGGTCACACTCAGAGAGTTGTGATCAATGGCTCAATGTCCAAGTGGAGACCAGTGATGAGTGGTGTCCCTCAGGGGTCGATATTGGGAAGGTTGTGGAGGGACTTTTTAAAAGGGTAGGTAGTGATAGGATGACAGGTAATGGTTTTAAACTGTAAGAGGATAGATTTAGATTAGATATTAGGAAGAAATTCTTTCTTGTGAGAGTGGTGAGACACTGCAACAGGTTGCCCAGAGAAGTCATGGCTGCCCCTTCCTTGGAAGTGTTCGAGGCCAGGTGGATGAGGCTTTGAGCAACCTGGTCTAGTGGAAGATGTCCCTGCTCATGGCAGAGGGGTTGGAACTAGATGATCTTTAAGGTCCCTTCCAACCTATACCATTCTATGATTCTATAAATTACTAAAGCAAATCATTGCATAGGACCAGAAGCAGGAAAGAATTAAGGTGTTGGAGTAAAGTGGCATGTATCCTCCTGAGCCTTCCATTGAAATCTAGCTCCATATTTGTCAAGCAGCATGCACATCTGCATCTCCTCTTCTGTGAAATCCATCTGTGTGAGTGTAGTTACCTTCAGGAAGGTCAAGTCAAAGCATTTTGGATTCATACAACTCATGAACTTCAAATGTGTTGTCAAGCAAGACCTGCTGTTATCTCCTTAAACATATTGAGGGCAATGAGACTTCCCTGTAGTAATGCTTAAAATATTTTATCTGGGGTAAATGGAAAGAACATTTCAAAACTTCCCTGTGTCTTCCCCTTCCTTATACTCACTTTCTGTTCTTCAGAGAACTCAGAATCAGGTAAACCATATCAACACTGCTGCAGTACAAGGATGTGGCTGAACCTTTTTCCTCCTGTGTTGTTCCAGTGTGATAGGATAACCTCTGTGTGTAATGATTCCATCTGTGGGGACTGAAATTGATTTTCCTTATCTTAACGTGTAAAGATCTGACCTTTGGAAGCATTAGCTGCCAGAGCATAGCAGCACTAGATGCAGAAAACATAAAGGTTACAGCTTTTAAACTGCTGGAAATGTATGTTCTTTTATTATTGGCACAGAGTGGTGAGCTCCTACATACCGAGTTGGTTTGTTCTCTTTCAGTGCACTCTCTCCGCTAGAAGGTAGAGTCTATAGGAAGACTTTTGCTCTTTGTCTTGCATGGTCAAATGTCAGAGGCTCTTCTGTGCTTCTGGTTAAAATCTGCGTGGATATAGTGACTT